CCCCCCCCCTCCCTCTCCCATGTGCACCTGTTGCTGCTCGCGGGGGAGCGCGAGCGCTCGTCGTCAGCGCACGCAGAAACCCGGGACATGCTTCGGCGTCGGAAAGCTCCCGCCCGCCTTCTTCCGGGCGGCGAGAGGCGAAGCGATCCATTCATCGCCTGGCAAACGACTCCGCATCCGTTCGGGCGCTTGCTTTCACTTCAAATTGTCCAAATGATTTGGGTGACTGTGGCGCGTGAGCCGGTGCATCGGTTGGCCGTCGCCGATTCCATTCCGGGAGGAGATCGTCGCTTGTTTACTCCACAAAAAAAGCCATCTATTCTTAGTCGCTCGCTATCTATGTCGGCCATCTGGAGATGGCGCAGAGGTAAGGCGGCCGTGTCCGGCCCAGCCCGCTGTCGACGTCTCCGTCCCTGCTCCGGCACACCCGAGTCAAACGACGGCTTGTCGCTCGGGTGTGTTCTGACAACATGCCGGATTGGGGCCCAAATACTTGCTGCGATAAGGCACTTGTTGCCTTTCCCCCCCAACGGCATCGAGTCAGAGCTTAAGCAGCTCCGTGCGCGACTATTAAAAGCCCGAGATTTCACACCGAGTACATTCGTGAGGACACTGAGACGAGATCTGGATTCCAAGTAGATCCAGACCCGAGGGGGGGGGGGTCTTGGGCTTTTGTCATGCTTTGGTGTTTTAGATCGCGACGCCAATTCTGTCTCACAGAAAAATACCCAATTAGATACACCATATGTACATGACAAATTCATTTATTGAAGGGGGGGGGGCGGACCAACCTATCATACCCGATGTGAAAAAGGAAGAAGCCCCTGAATTGATTCCTAAACAGTTCTGCCAAAAGCCACCCTTTGAAAAAGCCCTTCTTTTTTTTGGGGGGAGATTGCTTCCAACTGGATGGTTTTTACGTCGAGCCGCATTTGGGGTCGTGCCACAGAATTGCAACCGGATTCGAGGCTGGCCATTCGACAACACTTCGGTGGGACTTTCTGCTTCTGGTTGGGCTCCCACCACACCCCGGCGGGGCTCGGGCGACC